TTACACATGTATTTGAATTTTTGCCTTTTGCATATTCAAAGAATTAAGTGAATTATAAAACATATCTTAAAATATAGAAAACAATATATACGTATATATATATATATATATATATATATATATATAATCAGAAAGATAATGGATTTCATGTGCATGATTCTGGCTACGAGGGAGGTAATTAATAGAGTCATTTTAATAATTTTGAAGAACAAAGACAGCCCATATTCACTTGTGGTTACATGATTGATCTTCCATTTTGTCCCTAATAATATAAAACCAAAAAACAATTTGCTCTTTTTTTTTTCTTTGCATTAATAATTATTATCATTCAAGTACATATACACATGCATATACATATATCGTACTTGTGTGTATATATATATATATATATATATATATATATATATATATGATGTAGACCCACCGACCCTTGTCATATGCCAAGTCACACTGATTGAAATTGGCATTACTCCGTACGTTAAAAATTATATATAACTACAAAACGTTCTAGAAACTTATGATAATTTGACATTCTTTATAAATATATATATATATAATTAATCTATTTTAAAATTATTTTTTATTAATTTAAAGTTAATTAATATTATTTACTGAATTTATATTTCTCAAGTAAAATTTGATTATGATTAATAAATGAAACACAAATATGTTGTATTCTCAAAATTTTTGGAAATTCAAATCCATCACTTTTTCTTATGCTTATTACTACACAACAGAATGTTTACTTTCAATGCATCAAACAACTCCACCTAAAATTACTTTTTATTGAATTAATTTGCTCAATAATCACATATATTTTAATATATCATTTACCACTTATATATATATATATTTAATAAACTATAATTATTACCCATGTAAATTAATTTTTTATTTAAATGTTTGCTAATATAGCAAAAATGTAAATACCATATTTGGTGAAAAATCTTTTTGTCTCTTATAGGTAAAGCTAATATTCTTTTAAATATGGACAGGACTAATATACGAGTGATTCATATACAGCATCTCTTTCTTTTATCAACGGTTTTACTAATTGATATGTTTCCACAAATAATTGAAATTCAATTTTTGAAAACTTATAAAGTCCCGATGAATAAACCTACAAAATCCTTCAAATAAGAATGTGTATAATAACAGAAATTGAAAGTCTTTCTTTCAGAATTTTGATAACTATATATAATAATAGGCTAATGTTAGATAAAATACTTGGTTTATCCACTCAAACCAAAAGCTATTATTAAGTTTTGTTACTTAAAAGCTCGAGTTGATATTCTTTTATATGAACAAAATCATATGATTTACAACTAAGATTGTGTGAATCTATTTTGATATGTTAAATCGATCCATTTTGGTTTTCGAAACGCAGATGGTTGATGGAAGCGCGAAAAAAAGAAGCATATGGTGAAAAAATATGAAAAAAGATATGTCATTCTTGACTTTGATTCCTCTATGAACAAGATAGGATTAGTACACTAAACCTCTCCTCTCTGTCTCTTTCTTTCTCTCAGCCCCGTAAACAAAGAGAAAAGGAAAATGATGGAAGAAAATAAAGAAGAAATCAGAGAAGAGGACCCAAATCTTCCTACCCAGACAGCTAAAAACAATATTGAAATTACCGCAATTACTGAAGATTACACTCGTTTGTTCTCTTCAATAATAGGATCTGCTGCTTGAATGGAGTTTCGGGACTCTTTCCCTGTAACTCCGCCACTGTGATGACCGCCTGCATTTCAACAGAAAGAAGCAATACGTAATGAACGTGTTATTAATACCCAAAAAATAATAATTCACATCATCATATGATAACCTGCTACACGAAAGCAATGTCTCAACTAATTCAAGTAATTAAGCTGTAGTATGATTTGAATTGCTCATGTATCGGGTTAGAAGCATCCGAAGAAAATTATTCACATTTAACAATATATTTTCATGTACTCTTCATCCAAAAGTAATCCGTATAAATGCAGCCAAAAGTAAAAAGCTTCATGCTGAAAATGTATAAGCTTAAAGGGATTACCTCCAGGTGTTGAGATTCGATCAGCAGAACCAATTCCTTGACTAGTATTGCCAATGGCAGCTAAAATTCCATGAAATTCCTGCGGGAACGCTCTATTGACATTTCCACCTCCTTCAGATTCTCCACTGGGTATGTTACTTTCATTGACAGGCTTCATGATAGATTTTGCAGAGTAGGTCGTTGACCAAGATCCTCCATTGGATCCAGCTAAGGCCATTATAACATCTGCCTGAAATTGCACCCCCCGCAGACAAGTAAAGGAATGAACATATTAATGAATATTTAAGAATAAGATACTCAACAGTCCAAAACCCTCAGGAATTTTGGTTATTGAACAACCCTCAAAGAAACAACAGGAGACAATTTTTTGAATGTACAAGTTAATTACACAAGTTCCCACCAGAAATGCTACTATTTAAAGAATATCTTGTTTGGTACTAGTGCCTGTCAAGAAGTCCTGCAGCTGTCCCATTTTGTTTTGAATTTTGATATTTCACCATAAAGACAACTAACATTCACCAAAAATAACCCGTTCATGTAATCTCTTCAAGAACTTTGAACATCTTAAATGCTAGACATACTAATAAAGGAAACTCGATCTTTCATGAGAATTGCACATCTTAAGTGAACTAAATGTTGGATAACCTCTTCTGTTGATAACTGTGGAGACTGGAGAACAGAAACCTTTGGTAAGATAAAACCTACCATCATAAGAAAAATGGCTAATTTCTTATTTCTTCCTCTTCTGATAGGAGTTTACCGTCCTCATTGGTGGATGGTAATTCAGTACAGGTAACTGTGGAATCTCCAATTTGTTGTTTGAGCAGGGATACATGAAAAACGGGGTGAATGCGTGAACCTTCTGGCAGTTTGAGTTTGTATGTGACGGGCCCTATGCGTTGGAGAATCTGATAGGGGCCGTAGAACTTACATGCGAGCTTTTGGAGAGCTCTCTTGAAAACTGTCTGTTGACGGTAGGGCCGTAGCCTTAGGAAAACCCAATCGCCTTTTTGAAATTCAATGTGCCGTCTCTTAGGATTGGCCAATTGTTGCATGCGATTCTGGGCAGCCTGTAAGATGGATTTAAGTTGTTGTAGGAGAACATTTCGGGCTGCCAGCTGGTGATCAACTTCTGCTACTGGTGTTTCTTGAGACTTGTAGTTCGGAACGACTGGAGGTGGTCTTCCGTAGAGAGCTTGAAAAGGAGTCATCCCAATAGATGAGTGGAAGGTGGTGTTATACCAGAACTTGGTCCATGGTAACATCGCATGCCATTTGTTAGGGCGCAGGTGGCCTAGACTTCTGAGGTACTGTTTAAAGCAGCGGTTGACCACTTCGAATTGTCCATTGGTTTGAGAGTGGTAAGCAGAACTCATTTTAAACTGTGTTCCTGACATCTTAAAAAACTCTTGCCAAAATTTGCTGATAAAGATGGGATCTTTGTCGCTAATAATGGTCTTGGGCATTCCATGGAGCCTTACAACTCTGTTTACAAACTTCTCTACGACTGTCTTGGCTGTACAAAGGATGAGAGAGGCCCAAGAAGTGAGC